GAAATATGTTTTGTCAGCCCCGACGTCATTTCTGGTGCATTATAAAAGAACATAGACCTTTCCTTATCTCTTCATCTCCATAACCCTCTTCTTGCCCACAGGTACAAAGCACAGGAAGTTTTCAGCTCACAATATTTCTGGTGAAATCATCCAAATCATCCACTCCACTCCTCCCAAAGACCTCTGCTCTCGTGCTCCCTCTTCATCTCCTCCATGCTTACCTACAGGACTTCTCCAGAGCCTCTCCCAACCTCTAGAACTCCCTACCTGAATCTGTACATTATCTCCTACTCTGTCTGCCTCTAGGCGATACCAGAACATTCATCTATTGAGGGAACCCTACCCCACCTAAAATAGTACTTTTACAGTCCCAATCAGCTCATCCTCCTTAGTTATTACCTTTTGTACATCTTCTCCTTCCCTTTTAGATTGTAAGCTCCATGAGCAGGGCCCTCTTAATCCTCTTGTATTGTAACTGTTTTGTCAACAGACAACCTTCAATGTTATACAGTATTTGGCTGACCAAAAGGGAGCAAAGTTATTTCTTGGGTTTTAGAGACCTTTAAATGATTTCAGAAACAAAGCCATGGAATTCATGGGTAATAAATACATTTCACAGCTTAAAGTGTTACTAAACCCAGGACCCTTCATTCTTTATATGCAGTCTTCCGCCATGCACAGAACATGGAATTATGCAATTATTTTAGTAAATATAAACTGCTAAATACCTTTTCTCATCAGAAGAATATAGCAGTCTTGTGACTTCTATAAGTTCTATAAGCACTGATTAAAGCTTGGAGGAGGAGTTTTCATTCTCTTCTGACTGTCCTATGAGGCTGCATGACCCCTAACCCCCTGTCTGGACAGCGCTGATTGGCCCTGTGTTGATCACATGTGCCTACCCAAAAAAAACCCCACTCTCTAGCAATACACACCAAACTGAGCATGTGCAGAGTGTCTCCTAGGGCTCTGTACTCTCAGAAGATGGATTGGGGACTGTGGAAGAAAGAGAGGATCATAGAAGACATAATCAAGCAGCCTTTTTTACACAATGCAGAAGATTAACCCCTTAGGTTCCACAGTGAGAATAACAAGCATGCTTTAATGCATAAACAGACTGATTTTACTGTTGTGGGTTTAGTAACACTTTAATTGAGCATCAGATATATACATTTAATAATGTGATTGTAAATCACTTTTAAATTATGGACTGCAGAATTACCCTTCCATACAAAACCTTTTAAAGTAGAACATGTTAAGGGATATTAATAGGTAAATTCTTCTTTGGTTGTAGGAATTAGTTTAAAGTATATGCAAACCCTCACCTTGTAAAACAACCCATTCAGTTTAAAATAGACATGAAGGGCAAAACATTTGCGTATACATATAAAAAACATAAATACCTTTTGATTTTTCGTTTTTTATAAGTGATCACATACCCTCTGTTCTCAGCTGCATAAGAGCTAGGGAAGGAGAAACAGCAGGACACTGACTTCCTAGTGAAAGAATATGGGGGGAAGGGGCAGCCCACATCTAATCATTGAATTAGCCTCCAGCACAGCAAGAAAACTGACCATACTGTGCAGTCAGTTTTTAGTAGGAAAGCAAAGAAACGGGCAAGACACTAGGGATTTCGCACAAAGGAAGTAATACAAAGAGAACAGGATATACGTTTTCATACAAGTTCATGGTACAGCAGGCACATATCAGGAATATGAAATATTGGGTTTACATATTTTTTAAAGAGGACCTATACATCAGTGTTAGTTTAATGCTTAGAATTAATGTAGATAATAGAAAAAAAAGAGTAATCATACCCCCAAATACATACAGGTGAAACTCAAAAAATTTGAATATCGTGCAAAAGTTGATTTTTTTCAGTAATGCAACTTAAAAGGAGAAACTAATATATGAGAGATAGACTCATTACATGCAAAGCAAGATAGTTCAAGCCTTGATTTGTCATAATTGTGATGATTATGGCTTACAACTCATGAAACCCCAAATCCACAATCTCAGAAAATCAGAATATTGTGAAAAGGTGCAATATTCTAGGCTCAAAGTGTCCCACTCTAATCAGCTAATTAAGCCATAACACCTGCAAAGGGTTCCTGAGCCTTTAAATGGTCTCTCAGTCTGGTTCAGTAGGAATCACAATCATGGGAAAGACTGCAGACCTGACAGTTGTGCAGAAAACCATCATTGACACCTTCCATAAGGAGGGAAAGCCTCAAAAGGTAATTCCAAAAGAAGTTGGATATTCCCAAAGGGCTGTTTTAAAAGCACATTAATAGAAAGTTATGTGGAAGGGAAAAGTGTGGAAGAAAAAGGTGCACAAGCAGCAGGGATGACCGCAGCCTGGAGAGGATTGTCAGGAAAAGGCCATTCAAAAGTGTTGGGGACTTTCACAAGGAGTGGACTGAGGTTGGAGTCAGTGCATCAAGAGCCACCACACACAGACGGATCCTGGACATGGGCTTCAAATGTCGTATTCCTCTTGTCAAGCCGCTCCTGAACAACAAACAACGTTAGAAGCGTCTTACCTGGGCTAAAGAAAAACAGATCTGGTCTGTTGCTCAGTGGTCCAAAGTCCTCTTTTGATGAGAGCAACTTTTGCATCTCATTTGGAAACCAAGGACCCAGAATATGGAGGAAGAATGGAGAGGCACACACTGCAAGATGCTTGAAGTTCAGTGTGAAGTTTCCACAGTCTGTGTTGATTTGGGGAGCCATGTCATCTGCTGGTGTTGGTCCACTGTGCTTCATTAAGTCCAGGGTCAACGCAGCCGTCTACCAGGAGATTTTGGAACACTTCATGCTTCCTTCCGCAGACGAGCTTTATGGGGATGCTGACTTCATTTTCCAGCAGGACTTGGCACCTGCCCACACTGCCAAAAGCACCAAAACCTGGTTCAATGACCGTGGGATTACTGTGCTTGATTGGCCAACAAACTCGCCTGACCTGAACCCCATAGAAAATCTATGGGGCATTGCCAAGAGAAAGGTGAGAGACATGAGACTGAACAATGCAGAAGAGCTGAAGGCCGCTATTGAAGCATCCTGGTCTTCCATAACACCTCAGCAGTGCCACAGGCTGATAGCTTCCATGCTAAGCCGCATTGAGGCAGTAATTGCTGCAAAAGGGGCCCAAACCAAGTACTGAGTACATATGCATGCTTATACTTTTCAGAGGTACGATATTGTTCTATGTACAATCCTTGTTTTATTGATTGCATGTAATATTATAATTTTCTGAGATTATGGCTTACAGCTCATGAAAACCCCAAATCCACAATCATCACAATTATGACAAATCGCGGCTTGAACTATCTTGCTTTGCATGTAATGAGTCTATCTCATATATTAGTTTCACCTTTTAAGTTGCATTACTAAAATAAATGAACTTTTGCACGATATTCTAATTTTTTGAGTTTCACCTGTAAGGTCCTGTGATATTTTTTGAGTAGAATGATCAGAGTTTATCAGCCTGATTCTTGTGGTTTGGGTGGCCCCCGGCTGACACAGAATAGATTTAAGTGGCCTTATCTCTGTGTATATGGGCAACATGCATATACAGTATGAATATTTCGTTTATTCCCTGTTTGATGAAGTGAAGAACATTTTTTCCTGTACTATGCACTTTATCAACAAATGTTTCATATGCTAACTTCACAAGATCATGATAGTTATCAAACCACTGAAAGTTTCCTGATAATGGCATTGCAAGTATTTGTATAAACATAAAAACCACAAAATAATACCACTAATACAAAAGACCACTTTTCTGGTTTAAAGGGAGGTTTCAAAACATTACTATGAGTGGTACAGCAGCTAAAAATGACCAATGATCTCAAATCAGTCACAAAATAAAAAACATTGACAACAGCCCAATAATAAGAACAAAAAAGGGGAGGGGGTTCCTATTCTTTCCTTGAAACAGCTTCCATTTTAAACACTATGGGGGGGAGATTTACTAAAACTGGCGCACTCAGAATATGGAGCAGCTGTGCATGGTAGCTTATCCGCTTCTAACTTCAGTTTGTTCAATTAAGCTTTGACAATAGGACCTGTACCAGATTTTCCATGCTCCAGTTTTAGTAAATCTTCCCCTATGGGTATAGTGCGGTATTGTAAAACCCAAAAACAAAACCATCATGCGCTAAAAGAACTAAGACTTAAATAAATAGAAATAAATTAGGAGACTGCTGCAAGCTTCCACCTAGCTGGGTATCACATGTGACAAAACTATAAAAAACATAATAAAGTGCACTGTCCCTTTAAATAAAAAATAGTAAACACCATTAATACATATAAATAAATAAAAAAATAGTAAACGCAATATATTTTATAATAAAAAATCAGATGAGGATTTCATAGATAGAAAAAAAGTTCAGATCATGTGCAAATGCAGCATGGTGTGATTTAAAAATATTATCTTCGGTGAATCTGCACAAAAATTCTCCAGGGCTGTGAATCTCGAACCTGCAGGATTCACCTCAAACCCATTTTAGCAATAAACCCGAACTTCATCCCTAGTCATTTGGCAAGTTACAGGAGGCAAACAGGATGATTGTTAGAAGCATGACAACTTTATATGGTTAGTGAATGCTTTTAGATGTTACGGTTAAGGTCCATTGAAGTTCCTTCCTCAGTTTAAGGAAGGAAAGAGTACATTGCATAAAAACATATTACAACTAAGGAAGAACTGAAGGGTTCCTGAAATTCCGCATCTGGGAATCAAGAAATGTTTCCCAACCAAATGATGATGTCATTGTGTTATGGCTTTCAGAATGTCAACAAGTGTTAGTTCCATTTTAATTCTAGTTACATTGTTCTGAGTTCATAGGGAGTGCTCATGTGTTTTTGTAAAGTGGTAGGATGCAGTCGGTGTATATGTACATGACGTTTTCAGTCAACAAAAAAATGATTCCAGTATCTCTTTTGAGCAATTCTTGCAAGTTAAAGTGACATTAAACCTTCATTTTTTAAATAAAATGACAAACATGTCATACAGGGGCGGACTGACCATTTGGAAACTCAGGCACTGCCTGAGGGTCCGGGGTCAGTAGGGGGCCCCATGAGATGCCCCTGGTACCTTTTTCATAGGCTTTTTGAGTTTGGGCAAGGACACAGGGGCCCCATGATCCCCTATTGCCCGGGGCCCCATGAGTTGTCAGTCCACCCCTGTGTCATACGTACCTGCTCTGTGTAATGGTTTTGTACAGAACAGCCCCGATCCTTTTCTTCTGGGGTCCCCAGCCGACACTCCAGGCTCCTCCTCCAGTGCTGATTTCCATTGGGGCACCTGCGCCGCCCTGCCTGCATCTATGGACACAAAGCAGGTGGCTCAGCCCAGCCTCCACTCCCTCGTTACAGCATTTGATTGACAGCAGTGGGATCCAATGGCTCCTGCTGGTTTCAATCTGACCAGTGACGAGGGCAACAGCAAGAGCTGCTCTAATGCACATCACTGGATCTAATCAGGCTCATGTAAATATAAGGGGGGGGGGGGGCTGAGGAGATGCATTAATGCATTAAGGTACAAAAAAAAAAAAAAACCTAAGGCTTTAGAACAGAGGTCCTCAAACTTTTTAAAGAGGGGACCAGTCACTGACCTTCACACTCTTGGGGGGCTGGACAATATTTTGAAAAAAATATGAACAAATTCCTATGCACACCACACATATCTGATTTGTAGTGCAAAAAAAAACAGAAAAAAACAGTAGAATATTTAAAATGCATTGTACTCTGTAACGCACTGGACACCACAATGCACTGTACTCTGTAACGCACTGGACACCACAATGCACTGTACACTGTAACGCACTGGACACCACAATGCACTGTACACTGTAACGCACTGGACACCACAATGCACTGTACACTGTAACGCACTGGACACCGCAATGCACTGTACACTGTACGCACTGGACACCGCAATGCACTGTACACTGTAACGCACTGGACACCACAATGCACTGTACACTGTAACGCACTGGACACCGCAATGCACTGTACTCTAACGCACTGGACACCGCAATGCATTGTACTCTGTAATGCACTGGACACCACAATGCACTGTACACTGTAACGCACTGGACACAGCAATGCACTGTACACTGTAATGCACTGTACTCTGTAACGCACTGGACACCACAATGCACTGTTGTGAGATAGGGAAACAGCTCTCATTGTTTGAACACTGTTTGTGTGGAAGTAAATTAATGTTTTGACTGACATTCTGCGGTCTAGCCACAAGATGTCACTGTTTTTCTAACACAGCTTCAGACTGCATAGATATTTGTATATTCATGAAGAGGTGGGGTTTTTTGCACACAGAGTTGGAGAGAACAGGAAGGAGAGAGAGAGAGCCATGTTTTGGAGCATGGTGAATAAGGGGCGCTGTGAGCTGAGAATCTAATGACATCCAGGTGTGAAAGCGTCCCTCCGTAACCAGAGCTGCAGCTAAGTAAAGCTGATGAGATTGCTGCCAGGAAGCTGATGAGATTGCTGCCAGGAATGCTGATGAGATTGCTGCCAGGAAGGCTGATGAGAGCAGAGGAACTAAGCAACATATACGGCGAGACCGCATGCTTGTTAGAAAGACATTTGTTCTGTTCAGAGTCACCAGAGTCCAGGCCTATAGTTAGTTAGGGTCTCTGTTTGTGTCAGGCCACAAGTGTTGTTACTGATCATTGAAAGGACTCCACAACTTAAAGTGACATTTCACATTGGAGAGCTGATAAAATCCTACAAACTCAAGCCAGACTAGCGTTTTGCTCAGAAGGAATACTCAGGCATGTGCTACAGGACCAGTTATGTTAGAGGGAATACTGTAGATTTGTGTAAGATTGTAAGCTGTTGTGCTGCACCGCAGGCTAGCCCATACCGTACACCCATACACTGATTCCTGCTCTTTTAGGGTAATAACAGGTAAGGTGTGGCAGCTTAGTTGTGCCGGCCAGTAGGTAAATTACTACACCTTCTGCCTTCATCCATCAGGAGGTGCCATACTGTGCAGCACAAGGGTCTCAGCCTTTGGGCTGGGTGTATGTAAATTTATTGTATGTTCTCAGCATTTGTGGTTGTGTATATTTGCCACATCTAAGTAAAATTCTGTTGTGGCAAAAGCTGGTGTTGGGGTTGCTTTCCTCGTTCGTGACTTCACTGTATCCTGGGGAGCCCACCCCGGTACACGGCTTACCCTGTACTCTGTAACACACTGGACACCACAATGCACTGTAACGCACTGGACACAGCAATGCACTGTACACTGTAATGTACTGGACACCGCAATGCACTGTACTCTGTAATGCACTGGACACCACAATGCACTGTACACTGTAACACACTGGATACAGCAATGCACTGTACACTGTAATGCACTGGACACCGCTATGCACTGTACTCTGTAGCGCACTGGACAACATAATGCACTGTACACTGTAACACACTGGACAACGTAATGCACTGTACACCGTAACACACTGGACACTGCAATGCATTGTACTCTGTAATGTTCTGGACACCACAATGCACTGTACACTGTAACGCACTGGATACAGCAATGCACTGTACACTGTAATGCACTGGACACCGCTATGCACTGTACTCTGTAGCGCACTGGACAACATAATGCACTGTACACCGTAACACACTGGACAACATAATGCACTGTACACCGTAACACACTGGACACTGCAATGCATTGTACTCTGTAATGTACTGGACACCACAATGCACTGTACACTGTAATGCACTGGACACCACAATGCACTGTACTATAATGCACTGGACAACAAAATGCACTGTACACTGTAGCACACTGGACACCGCAATGCATTGTACACTGTAGCACACTGGACACAGCAATGCACTGTACACTGTAATGCACTGGACACCGCTATGCACTGTACTCTGTAGCGCACTGGACAACATAATGCACTGTACACTGTAACACACTGGACACTGCAATGCATTGTACTATGTAATGTACTGGACACCACAATGCACTGTACACTGTAATGCACTGGACACCACAATGCACTGTACTATAACGCACTGGACAACAAAATGCACTGTACACTGTAGCACACTGGACACCGCAATGCACTATACTCTGTAACGCACTGTACTCTGATACACTGGAGACCACAATGCACTGTACACTGATACAATGAACACCGCAATGCACTGTACTCTGTAACGCACTGTACTCTGATACAATGGACACCGCAATGCACTGTACACTGATACACTGGACACCGCAATGCACTGTACTGTGACACACTGGGCACTGCAATGCCCTGGTGTGCTCTCCTCCTTTCCTGTCCTGTTGCTCCTCTGGCTGCAGCAGGTGAAATTCGGCGCTTGCTACTTGCTGGCCGACACCTTTTTTTTCCAATTTTTTTTTTCCAGCTGGGCCAGCGGGTCAGTTAAATGACTTTGGTGGGCCGTATCCGGTCCGCAGGCCGTAGTTTGAGGATCCCTGCTTTAGAACCACTTTAATCATTTTTAAATATTTATTAATGATTCTCTACCAGTCATTGCAGAAACCTAAAAAAGGTATTAAAAGCATTCTGAAACAAATTACTATAGGTTTGATTTACTAAAGGAACAGAAACTGCAGACCTAGCAAAGTAAATGTCAAAGATCATCTTCAGTCTCAGCCAGTGTGGCTTCACCCTCTTTGATACCACCATTATGGTGTGTGCACTGATGTGTCAAAGGGCTGTATCCAGCCCTTGGGGCCTGGCAGAGAATTTCTGCACATGCGGAAACACAGCAAAGTATTGGGACTTCCATGATAGCCATCTTTGCACATGCATGGGGGAAGCCCCACTTGCCTAGATGTGCTGGGAAACCCATACATGTGCAGATGTGCCACAGGGCTCAGCCATTAACATAAGCCCTGGGGCACATCAGCGCACACTGAGAGTACAGACGGGGGGGGGGGGCACAAGTGTTATTCTTGCCTAGATGAGAAATGCATATCAAATTGCCAGAAAGGGAGGAGGCAAGGAAATTTGAGAGTTAGCTTAGGGTGAAAGTCAGCTTTAATGTAAATAACATTGTCAGGAAAGGCTTGTCCATAGTGCAGGTGAAGGTTCGCAGCGCATAAGTATGCTCGTGCGCAGAACAGTAACGGGCCAGACAGATGTGTGTGGACCTGGGCATATGCTCGTGGTGAGCACACATATGCACACTCGCGCATTCAGGCATGTGCCTGCCACTAATGCTGGCGCCCAAAGGGGCTCTTAAAACAGGCTGAAGTTTTGTCTCATTGCGGTTTGGTCTACAGCTTCTGAGTGTGTTCCCGATTCTTGCGCTTGACCTCTGATACTGACCCGGCTTGTTCTTGATCTTCGCTTGCCTGCTACCTGCCCTGACCCCGGCTTGTCTTGGATTACTCTTCTGCCTCCTGTTCCTGTCTGATTGAACCTCCACTGCTGACCTGGCCTATGACCCGACTACTCTACCATCTACCGTCTATCTGCCCGACTGTTACCGACCCAGCTCGTCTAACCCTGCATCTTCCATCCTGCTCACTGCAGCTCATCAGCCCTGCAAATCCGTATCTGGATCCTGCTTCCTGCTGCAATTCTATAACCTGCTGACAGCTGAGATCCGTGCCAGGTTATCTGTCATCAGCCTGTCCTGCTGCTTCACCTGCCTGCTGACTGCCGCTGACACAGACTACTGGACTGATCACAGGCACTCATATCTTGCCGTGCTCCTGCGGCTGCTGTCCCACTACCAGTAGCCCTCGTGCCACAGCTGTATGGGAGGCTTGCCTCTTAACATCAAGCTCACTATAAAGGTATGTAACAAACAAAAAGCTGTGTTCGCTTCAATCATCCAATCCTGTAAGCAAAAATACTGCATTTTTTTTAAATTATATTCCTTGTACATGAAGCACTATCCTCATGAGGACCACTTTTATTTTTGCCCAGGTTTCCCCCTTTTTTGGCTTGCAGTCAGGCACCAAGTATGTTTCACAGCCAGATACACACATGTTAAAGAGTCATTGTCTTGCTCGTTGTCTTCAGTGACCAGTCTAGGGGATGTTTCTTTTTGGGGTTTTATTGCAGAACAGGGGATAGGGACAGGGAATATATTAGGATGCTCCAAGATTAGAACTATTCACACTGAGGACATTCAGCTGATCTCTTAGTTGAGCACTTTTGAAGTCCTCGCTGAAAGCTGTTAGCAGACTTCTCTTTACTTTGTAGCAGCAGGTACTTTAGGAGTGAGCAAAGTCCCTTTTGCAGTAGTAGTACTTACAGGGCTGAATTCTTCAGGTATAAGCCAGGTATGATAG